GAATCAGTCCTAATCAAGTGACATGGTGCAACCATTCCTCAAGCTATGTGGTTTTGACTCTTTAGCAATGCCTTGTATGTTCATTTATATTAGCTTGCACCTGTATTAAAATACAATTAGTTGGTTAATGTTTTCATAAAGCATTGTCCTGATTGCTCTTGTTTTAAACTTCTGGATCTGAATTAATCTACTAATTTTTTTTAAATTTATACTTCATTTTACTGTGATTTTAATGAAAGTTTACAGAAAAGTTGGATTTTCATTCATTCACTGTTGCACATTTTTGTCCCCCTTCCCCAGCCCACTTTGCAATGTACCGCTGGACAGATTTTATACACACAGAATTCCCAATCATATAATTCTTTTAAACAGTTCTTTCCCTCATCCAGTGTTCTTTCCTCATCCACTTCTTCCCCTCATTTGTTCCAATGCAGTGTCCATTATCTATCCACTCTTCTTCTATTCTAGGGAGTGCTAGTAGCTTACTGGCAAGAAGCTGTGCTGCAATCCTGAAGGCATGTGGTTTGAGGACACTTCACAGGAGAAGGATAGGCAATCTCCTCCCATGCAATTAACTGCCTCTGAAAACCCACGGGAGGGTCAGCTATGGATCGGTTCTTATTCTATGGTACACAACAACAACAACAACATCCAATTCTTTCCTTCATTTGTTCCAATGCAGTGTCCATTATCTGTTACTCTTCTAGCCTCCCCCTAGCCCCACATGTCAGTCACTGAGAATATACCCTAAAGAAACCAGGACCAAGACTCAAACAGATGCACACACACCTATGTTTATAGCTGCATTATTCACAGTAGCAAAGAGATGGAAGCAACCCAAGTGCCCATCTCAATAAACGAATGGATTGCAAACCTATGGTACATTTACACAATGAATCAATCTACTTAAAGCAAACTCTAACAATACAAAGCAAGGTATTTAAAAACCTATCATATTTATAACCATTACTTATGTGGATAATGTTAATCTTATACAAATACTGCCAGAACCCCAATTTCTTCTTTTTGTGCCTACTAAAATGGCTTAATCTTTCTTATCATTGGTTTTATAAGAAAAGGGTATAAATGTGAACTTGCAAAATAAGATAATCTATACTAATAAACTGGAACAGTACATTGACAGAGAAATACAAACTGGATTTAGAAAAGGCCGTGGCACTAGAGACATTATTGTTAATGTCAGATGGATCTTGGCAGAAAACAAGAGGAATGTCTATCCGTGTTTCATTGACTATGCAAAGGCATTTGACTGGGTGGATCACAACAGATTGTGGCTAACCTTTTGGAGAATAGGAGTCCCAAAACACTTTAGCATGCTTATGCAAAACCTATACCTGGACCAGGACGCAGTCCTAAGAACAGAGCAAGGAAACACTGCCTGGTTCAAAATCAGGCAGGGTGTCCAGTCTCCATATCTTTTCAATCTATATGTAGAACAGATCATTCGGGAGGCTGGGCTTTATGAGGAGGAATGTGGCATTAGGATTGGAGGAAGACTCATCAACAACCTGCGCTATGCAGATGAAACAACCTTGCTTGCTGGAACTGAGGAGAACCTGATGAAGTGCTTGCTGCAGAAGGTCAAGGACTGTAGCCTTTAATATATATTGAAGCTCCACATTAAGAAGACAAAGATTAAGCTCAGTATCAAAAAGACAAAGATTCTCACCACGTGGCCAATCGGCAACACCATGACAAATGTTGAAGAGACTGAGATTGTTAATAATCACAGCTTCCTTGGCTACACAATCAACACTCTTGGCATCAACACCCAGGAAATCAAAAGATGAATTGCACTGGGAAAATCAAGGACTTCTCCAGAGTACTAAGAAGTAATGATGTCAGTCTAGAGACTAAAGTGCACCTGATCCAGGCCATGGTCTTTCCAATTACTTGCTATGCATCAGGAAGCTGGACAATGACTAAGGATGACAAAAGAATTGATGCCTTTGAGCTGTGGTGTTGGAGAAGAGTCTTGAACATACCACAGATCACCAAGACAACAAATAGGTGTGTCTTGGAGAGGGTGAAATGAAGTTACTCCTTGTAGGCTAGGGCTTTGAAGCTCCATCACACATACTTTGGGCAAGGGGTCAGGAGGGACAAGTCCTTGGAGAAGGACATCATGCTTGGAAGAGTGAGGGGGCAGCAAAGGAGAGGAAGACCACGGATGAGATGGATTGATACAGTAACCGGAGCAATGGGGGTAGGTATGTCGGAGCTAGGTGAGACCTGCTCAGGACAGGGCAGGCTTCAGAGTTGTTGTACACAGGATCACTATGAGTCTCAGGTGACTTGATGGCACATAAGAACAACATACTAATAAAAAATCAATGCGATGTTTAAAGATTAAGTATGGGCATCAGTTTCAAGACTAAGGTGCGCCTGATTCAAGCCATTGTTACTGTTGTTGTGTGCTGTCACATTGTAACCGACTTGTAACTGATCCTCTAGCAGGTTTTCAGAGGCAATTAATCACACGTCAGGGTATTGTTCATTGCTTCCTAGGCGTCTGAAAGCTGGACAATGAATAACGATAACAGCTGAAGAATCAATGCCTTTAAATTGTGGTGTTGGCAAAGAGCATTGAACATCTCAAAGACTGCCAAGAGAACAAACAAGTCTGTCTTGCAGAAGCGCAATCAAGATGCTTCATAGAGGCAAGGATGGTGAAACTTTGTGTTGTGCACTTTACACATGTTATTAGGACACATTGTTGTCCTCTGAAAAGACATCATGCTGGGAAAAGTAGAGGATTAGAGAAAGAGAAGGCTCTCAATGAGACACAGGGGGCAGGATGGGCCTGGGCGTGACAGAAGGAGTGCTCATGATGTAGGACAGGACAAGGTTCACATCTGTCGTTCACAGGGTTGCTGAGTTGTAGGCAACTTGATGGCACCTGAAAACAACAATGACAATAAACTACAGCTTCTGTATTTCATTTATCAGAGTTCCATATTAGATTTCAGTTCCAAAAAGGGAGAAAAGGGAGGATGAGAAGCAGGAAGGATGATTAATGATTTGAGGAATAGCATCCACAGATTCAGGGGAAGATAAAATTTAAAAAAAAAGTGAAAAAAGAGACATAAAACATGGATGAAAAGAAACGCTCACGACGCATGAGAGGATGAAGGACAGTAATAGAGCTGGTTCGCTCTCATTGTGGCAAAAGGCTTTGTCTCTTTGTGAGAAAACAATAAGGAATGTACTGATAATGGAACATTTTGGAGAACAGAGACAGTATGGAGCAGATCAACAGCAAATCAAGCGGTTCCTGAGCGGCTCTTGAGAAGCATAATTTGCTGGAGTCCAGTTTTGTCTAATTCTATATTAAGCCTTTCTCTAAGGTTAATTATTCAAGAGGTGGTTAACTAATTTGTAGATTCCATGCAACTCAGTTTTTCACATTTTCCCCTAAAGCCTGCTTTTGGGGGGAAATGTCATCAAAAGAAAGTTAATAAAAACAAGAAAAGAAGGGAACTCCAATTAATATTTATGAATTTCATAATTTGTAAAAGATAGTTCAACCAACTCACTGCTACCAAGTTGGTTCTGACTCTTAGCGACCCTGAATGACAGAGTAGAACCGCCCGTGGCATTTCCAAGGCTGTAAGACTGCTGTATCTTTCTCCTTCAGAGCAAGCTGGTGCATTTGAACCACCAACCTGTGGGTCAACAACTGAATAACTTAATTCTAAAATAACCAGAGCTTTTGTATAAGACAATTTCATTTGAAACAAAAAATAAAATCAAGTCAGAAAGACAAAACCCCACTGAAACAGAAGGTAAAATAAACTTACAGGACTATGTGTAAGTGGAACCTGTCTATGCTGTCCAGGGTAGCCTTCTCCCAGCGATTTAGTGCCCCTGAAAACTCACAGGAGGATCGGTCAGGTTTACCACTGACTCAGTGGTAAACAACAACAACAACGATCTTGTCTGTCATTACCAAAATTTTTTTAAAAAGTAACTATTGTTACAGTTCACAAAAGAAAAAATCTGATGAAAAAGAATTCCTGTGAATGTTTTATCACATTTAGGTTCCTGAGTAAAGCTCTTATTCTTTAGCCAGCTTACCTGTACCTGAGGAGTTACAAACCTCTGTTTCACCTTCTGACATCAACGTACTTGGAGAGCTAATGGGAGGAGGTACCGTTGGCAAAGGAGGCTCCGGATTATCACGGTAAAATAACATCAGGTCCTGATAGAAAACAAGAGAGAATATGAGAATTTTTTTTAAAAAAAGAACCCAACACAAAAAAAGCATCTGTCTAGCTACACCGGGTGTATGTTGTTGTTGTTGCTGTGTACCGTTGAGTTGGAACCAATCCATAGCTGACCCTCTGGTAGGTATTCAGAGGTAGTTAATCACACAGAAGGAGATTGCCCAGCCTTCTCCCGCAGAGCAGCTCGTGGCCTTGAACTGTGTGCCTTCGGGATTAGAGCACAACTTCTTGCCACTAGGCCACCAAAGCTCCCTATAAAACTATACAATGGGTGTATAGTTTATGGATATATAGGTACATGTGCTAACAAAATCATCTCCACATTTTGACTTAAGAGAATGACACAATTGGGTGTCCATCAGTGGGGCACTTTTCCTTCATTAGAAATCCCCACTGCTTGCTCAAACGCCTCATGGGGATGGACAGTGATGCCCTCTGGAGCATCAGCCTTCCCAGAGCATCCCTGAAGCATACTATCGCAGCAGCCAATTATTTTGTTTTTAAAAAGCTACCTGCTTATGTCTTTCACTGAGTTTTAAAAGTTTCAGCTTTTTATCATGGAGTCTAAAGTAGGCAATATAGTCAATCTAATTATGAACATGAAATAATTCTCAGTGTGTGGCAAATCTTATTCAATTTATATTCTTATCATCATAAGCATACAAGGAAGTCCACTGAATACCACTATCATTCAAACAGATGAACAAACACCTAGAGCCAAAGAGGAGAAAAAAGAAGATTTCTAACAACTTTTTTTTTTAGTTGTGAGATGATATCAAGGATATCATCCATGAAAAGACCTACAATTTATTATAAAGACAGAGGAGAAAAAAACCCCAACAAGAACAAAATTACTCTGAAAAAACTGAAAATTATACGAGAGAGAGAGAGAGATATGGAGTACTGAATTTTAAAATATAAAAAATTTAAACAAATACAAAAAAGAAAGGAATTGGAGTTGTTATGTGCCATCATGTAGAGTGCAACCCTGTGCACAATAACTCATTACAGAACCCGTCTTCCTCAGTCTCCCCCCCAACCCTGAGGTCAGTCCCGTTTTACAACAGTGGCACCATGCAGTATTTGTCCTTTTGTGACTGAGATACTGCACTCAGCACAATGTCCTCCAGGGTCACCCATTTTGAATAATATTGCATGAGTTCCTTGTTTTTCAATGCAGCGTAGTATTCCATTGTGTGAATATACCACAGCTTCTCTATCCATTCATTTGTTGATGGGCACTTAGGTTGTTTCCAACTCCTTTCTATTGTGAACAAAGCCGTGATAAACATGGGTGTGCATATATTTGTGTGGATGTCAGTTATGGTCTCTTTGGGATATATTCCCAGTAGTGGAATTGCTGGGTCAAATGGTATCTCTATTTGCAACCTTTTGAGAAAGTGCCATACTGCCTTCCACAGTGGTTGCACCATTTTACACTCCCACCAACAGTGAGTAAGGGTTCCAGTTCCTCCACAACCTTGCCAGCATTTGTTGCTTGCTGTTCTGTTATATTTTGCTATTCTTACTGGGGTGAGATGATACCTCATAGTTGTTTTTATTTGCATCTCAGATCTAGGGATTTTGAACATTTCTTCATGTGCTTGTTAGCCATCTGAATGTCTTCTTTGGTGAAGTGTCTGTTCATATCCTGTGCCCATTTTTCTACTGGATTATTTACCTTAACTTGTTGTGGTGCTCAAGTATTTTATAAATTCTGGATATAAATCCCTTATCTGATATGTCATTACCAAATACTTTTTCCCAGTCTGTGGCTTCCCTTTTTACCCAGTTGGAGAAGTTTTTGGTTGTGCATAGGGATTTGATTCTTAGAAGGTCTCATTCATCTATTTTATCTTCTCCTGGCTGTAGGGATTTCTACTAACTTTTACAGTCAGAAACCAATCAAACATGCAATCAAGATGCGTTAATAATAATGAGTGACTGGAATGCAAAAGCTGGGAACAGAGATGAAGGATCAGCAGTGGAATACATGGACTTGGTGACAGAAATGAAGCTGAAGATAGAATGATCTATTCTATACAATCAATGATTTATTCATTGCAAATACTTTTTATAAGAAACATAAATGCAAGCTATCCCCATGGATTTCACCTGATGGTATTCATAGGAATCAGATCAATTATATCTGTGGAAAGAATCACTGGAGAAGCTCATTATCAGCTGTGAAAACTAGGCCCGGTGCTGATTGTGGAACAGACCACCAACTAGTCATATGTAAGTACAAGCTGAAGCTAAAGAAAATGAAATCAAATCTACAGGAACCAAAATTGACCTTGAGTCTATCACACTCAAATTTCAAAACCATCTAAGGAACACATTTGAGGCCTTGAACACGAATGAGTGAAGACCAGATGAGGATATCAAGAATATAATCCATGAAGAATGCAAAAGGTCATTACAAAGACAGAGGAGGAAGAAAAGACCAAGATGGAAGTCAGATGAGACTCTGAATATTGCACTAGAACACTGAGAAGCCAAAGCAAAGGGAAGAAATCAGGGAGTTAAGGACTGAATAGAAGGTTTCAAAGGGCAACACAGGAAGACAAAGTAAAGTATTATAATGAAATGTGCAAAGAGCTTGGGTCAGAAATTCAAAAGAGTCAAACTCATTCGGCGTTGTTTAAGCTGAAGAACAAATTCAAGCCTTGAGTTGCAATACTTAAGGAGGCTTTGGACAGAATATTAAATTATCCAGGAAGCATTAAAAGAAGATGGAAGGAGTATACAGAGTCATTGTACCAAAAGGAATTGGCTGACACAGAAGAATTTCATGAAGCAACTGATAAGCAAGAACCTATGGTGATGAAGGAAGAAGTTCAGGCAGCTCTGAAGGAATTAACAAAAAGCAAGGCCCAGGAATTGATGGTACACCAACTGACATATTTTAACAAACAGACGCTGCCCTAGATGTACTTATAAAATTGTGCCAACAAATCTAGAGGACAACCACCTGGCCAACTGAGAGATCTCTGTTTGTTCCCATTCCAAAGAAAGGTGACCTGACAGTGTGTGGAAATTATAAAACAATATCATTTATATTACACAAAAGCAAGATTCTGCTGAAAAGTATCCAAAACTGACCAAAATAGCACATCAACAGAGAACTGCCAGATGTGCAGACTGGGTTTAGAAGAGGCCATGGTTACAGGGATATTATAGTTAATGTTAGATGGATCCTGGCTGAAAGCAGGGAATACCAGAGGAATGTCTATTTATGTTTCATTGACTATGCAAAGGCAATTTGACTGTGTGGATCACAACAAACTGTTGCTAGCTTTGGCAGAATGGGAATCCCAGAACACTTGATTGTGCTTATATGAAACTCATACTTGGAGCAGGAGACAGTCGTCAGAACAGAGAGAAAAAAAAAACACACACCACAAAACTGCATGGTTCAAAATTGGGAAGAGTATACACCAGGGATGTGTCCTATCTCTTTAACTTTTCAATTTATATTCAGAACAGATCATCCAGTAGGCTGGGCTCTATGAGTAGGAATGTGGAATCAGGATTTGAAGGATGACACATCAACAATCTGTGTTATGCAGATGACACAACCTTGCTTGCTAAAACTGAGGAGGACCTTAAATATGGATTGGAACTCAACATCAAGAAAACAAAGATTCTCACCAATGGATCAATTTGGCAGTATTATAATAGACAGTGAAGAGTTTGCAATTGTTAAAAGCTTTAGTTTGCTTGGCTCCACAATCAAAATTCTTGCCACTAGCAGCCAGGAAATCAAAGACTAATGCCACTGGCAAAGTCTGCTGTCAGGGACCTTTCCAGAGTAATGTAGACCAACAATGTCAGTCTGGAGACCAAGGTGTGCCTGATTTAGGCCATCATTTTTGCAATTACTTGCTTTGCATCAGAGGGCTGGACAATGATTAGGGATGATAGAAGGAGAACAGGTGCCTTTGAGCTGTGGTGCTGGAGAAGAGTATTGATGCTACCATAGACTACTAGGAGAACAAACATATTCATTCTAGAGAGGGTGAGACCAGGCTTCTCCTTGAAGGCAAGGATTCTGAGGCTTTGTCTGACATACTTTGGGCACGTTCCAAGGAGGGCACAGTCCTTGGAGAAGGACATCAAGTTTGGGAAGGTGGAGTGACAGTGAAAGAAAGGAAGATCCTTCATGTGATAGATTGATTCAGTGACTGGCGTAATGGGCGTAGGAGTGTTAGGGACATTAAGGTTAGCATTGGATAGAGCAGGGTTCAGAACTGTTGTATATAGGGTTGCTATGAGTGGCAAGTGACTTGATGGCACAAACAACAACAAAAACTTCACTTGTCAGGGTTATATCTATTTAATCTTTATGCTAAGCAAAATTATTCAAGAAGCTGGACTATATAATAACGTGATCTTGGGTCTGGAGGAAGGCTCATTAATACCTTTAGTATACAGAGGACACAATCTTGTGCGGCAACAGAGAGGAAGATGTGAAGTGCTTCCTGTAGCCTTTAATATGGATTGCATCTGAACATCAAGAAAACAAAAATCATTACCACCGGACCGATACACAACATCATGATAGATGGAGAAAAGACCAAAACTGCCAACAGCTTCATCTTACTTGGATCAATAATTAACATATTTGGTGCCAGCAGTCAGGAGATGTATTGCACTAGGAAAGTCTGTAGTCAGGGTCTGCTCCTAATTATTGAGGAGCAGTCTGTTTGAAGACCAGGATACACTTGATCGAGGTCATGGTCTTATCAGTCACTTGCTGTGCCTCTGAGAGCTGGACAATGAATAAGGATGTCAGAAGAACTGATGTCTTTGAACTACAGTGTTGTTGATGAGTACTCAATATTTCATGGACTGTCAAAAACAGCAAACATTTCTTCATGTGTTTGTTTGCCATTCAAATATCTTCCTCTTTGAAAATTCTTTCCATGTCATTTGCCCATTTTGTTATTGGGTTATCAATCTTTTTCTTGTG